CACCAGTTTAAGTAATAAGATGAATGTCAAAGTCGTTGCTACAGTTAGGATTAGGGGGGGAGTTCTGGTGAAAAAAAATGAAATCATTCCTTGCCAGATTATTGTGTAAGGGACGCAGTACAGTTTTCCTATTTCGTTCTCTCGGCGTATGGCATCTTTGAGGAGAAGACTGGAAAAAATTGAGTCAGCTACAGGTAAAATGTAATGTTATCATAAAATGAGGCTAGTTTGTTTCCTTTGAAAACAAAATCGTTCCTTTTATCTTTATTTATTCACAAACAAAGTGCTTTAAAGGCCACCGTATAAAGCATTTCTCTATACCGCGATAATAGAGACTTCATACGGTGCGCACACAGATAGGCCCTATTCTAAGCTATCGTAGAGGAAAATAAATTTAATCACAAACAAAATTTATGACTCAAGTTAAAAAGTAAGAGTTAAACAACAGCAAGGATAGGATAATTTAGGAAGGTTAGCGAGCAATCTTTTTTTCTATATAGAAATGTGATAACTACCGCAACCCATTACCGGAGTTGACTTGAAACGAGTTTACCCAGTTGACTCGGACCGATGGGTTGTCCTCGTAAGTGCATCAGGCAGAGCAGGTTGGGTCAATTCTTGCCCCAGACTGGGGACCAGTCTACTGGACTCCAAGCCGCGCCAAACCACGATGGTTGTGTTTGTATTGCGCATGCCCAATGTGTATTAGACTTGCGTTGCAGCCGTTCATCGGCATAATGGTTTGTGATGCATGGGGGGTGTGGGTTCGAATCACGGGTCGGAATTGTGGGCAGGGAGGTTTTTTTTAAAGGAAAATAAAGCCCGAATGTTATTGGAGCCTAATTTCACACGTGAAGTTTTTATGGTTGGTTGAGCATCTGGATGTCATGCATTGTGCATGGTTGTGAACTGTGGTTTGGCTCCATACGTGGGATTGCATATGATATATAACTCGTTTCCTTGGCCCGCAACGGTCAGTCCATGGTGGTGATTCCATGGTCAGGCCAAAAAATGGAGATTCCACGAAAACACCTTCTATGAAATCCCTTTTAGGTGTATGGATCACTCACCCCCATCAAACCATCAATGTATTACTTTGGGCGATTTCCAGTTTGTAGAAGTCCGTGAAATTTTGGTTTCGATTTGGGCCATTCGTTTTACTATACAGCGATCAACTCCCGATCATTGACCGATTGCCTGGCCAAACAAAGTCGAGTCGGGGTCTGTTTGGTCTGGGATCCAGACAACGTGGTCACGTAGATCCCCAGAGCACGATATTGCCAAAGACCGTTGAAGTACATGTATAATGAACCGAGACACATACGATGCTTGGGATCGAGTGTGAACTCGTTGCCAGATGTAGACACAGCTTATCCAATCCCAATGGGCTATCACTAATAGTTCGTAATTTAACACGCATGCGCACGAATGGCTTTGGAGGCAAGAAGTATGAGCGCGTCATTGAAAATGTACATGGGTGCGACTTCGAGGATCATTTTCTCTGGGTTTTCTATCTTTGTTCAGTTTTTTCGTCAGAAAATCCCATTAAATCGTATTCGCTATTAGTTTCTAATTTAAGTGGTATTTTTAGTGCTCTGTAAAAAGATTTTAAAATCGTAATATTTCCTGCGCGCACGAAATCGTCTTTTCTTAGTATGGCCCCCCTCCATCATAAGTACTATAAACTACATCGTTGGTGTTCTTGGAGCCAACCTATACATTTGTAAAAACATGTACTGATGTTCAATCTACATGTACGTCCTTGGTTCAATGTATATGATATGTACCGGTACTGTACCCATTCGATTAGCTGCATTCTGCTCTTGGGAAATCTGAAGAACCCCAAACACAACAACTGGACATGACATTTCTTTCGGTTGTACTCCCAGCTATGACCAAGTTCAACGGTAAGCTGTGTACATGTACACACAGTATACACTTAGATTGAACATCGGTGTGTGTTTCACAAAATGCACAGGTTGGTTCCAAGAACACTAACGATGTAGTTTATGATGTAAAGGGGCCACACTGAGGAAAGGATGATCTTCGTGCACACAGGCAAAATTACGATTTTAAGATCTTTTAACAGAGCACTAAAAATTCCACTTAAATTAGAAACTAATTGAAAAAACGATTTAATGGGAACAGTTTCTGAAGAAAAAAATGAAAGTGAGAAAACCTGAGAGAAAATGACATTTGAAGTCGCACACCTGTACATTTCAATGTCCCGCTCACAGTTCTTGCCGCCATAGGCTATTTGCGCGCATGCGTACATAATTCTGAATTTATTAGTAAGAAGTCGGAAAAGCGAACGGTGTGCCACGGCACGCTATGCTGGCAACGAGTTCACCCTCTATCCCAAGCATCCTATCCTGTGTATTCCGGCTCATCATTCGTCAACGTTCTTTAACTGGGGATCTACGTAACAATGCTGTGTGGTTCCCAGACCACACAAACCCCCACTATGTTCTGCACAGATCGGGAGTTAATCGCCGTACTCACGCCTAAATCAAAACCAAAATTTCACGGACTTCAAGTTCTACAAACTGGAAATCTCCCAGAGTAATACACTGGTTGTTTGATGGGGGTGAGTGATCTATACACGCAAAAGGGATTTCACAGAAGATGTTTTCGCGGAGTCTCCACATTTTGGATTGACGATTGTGGGGCCCAGGGTACGGAAGGCGTCCAGTACTAGACTGGCACCCAGTCTGGGGCTAGCTCAATTCTTGCAAGTACATGTACGTATTACTAAAACGCATGTACGTACATTATAAGCCGTGGCCTTAACGCCACAATTTTTACAATGTGTCCGACCATGGATGAGTGCTGCTGCTTTAGCGGTAAGTTGCGCAGCAACACGTAAATTAAAAGAGTAAAGTTTTATTGTTATGTTAATTCCATGGATTCCTTCATATCATGGTTGGTGTCAGTTTGTGTGAGCTGCCCATCATCTGTCATGTCTGTCAGTATTTGCCCTGACATGCCTGACAAGTCAGTTTGGTGTGTCGCAGCATGGAGGTAGGCAGGTGGTAGGAGTGGTCACAGGTAGCCCAGGTGGACTCCCTGACCACACTACATAATGAAATGAAGACAACGTCCAACCTGGGCTAGGTCACAGGGTACCTCTAGTGTGTGTGACTGAGTGTGAGGGCAGACACAGTTATGTTTAGCCATTTGCGCCGAAATGGCAGCACCGGGCGTGCCAGGCTAGTAGTAACTAGGCCTAGTGACTCCCCAGGGAGCTGAGATGGTTTCAGGAATATTTATATATGATGCGCAAGCCCAATGTGCAAGGATAATGATAATACAGGGCCTCCGAATGGTTTTACTAGATAGATGGCATTTTACAAGTGCTTGTTATTAACTCGTACCCCAGTCAACTCGTACCCTTGACGAAAACACACGTTTGTCACCCAAACAGATTATGATTGTTTTCCTCCTTTTTTACCCCAAACAGATTACGATAATTTGTCTACCTTTTATTACCCTGAATGAATTACGATAATTTTTTGTCCCCGTCTTCCTGTTTTTCTCACCTTTTGAACGATGTTTGATGTTCAGAATGTTTATTTATCTTGCATCATTAAAATGCTGAAACTCGCAAGCATGGTCCCACAAGCACAAGCGAAAGTTGGATGATTAATTTTATTTTATTAATCTGTTTTTTTTTTGTGCAGGGACCAAATTACGGAAATTTCTCATCACAGGCCACCGTGATTGGTCAGGAAAGAATAACAAGGAAAACATTTCTTTTTCTGTAGTCAGACGCCAATAATGACCTACTTCCTAAACACAGTGGTTTTTTTTCAATGAAATCCATCTGGCAAAAGGAATTTTATATGCTTTATACATGTATGTTTGCATTCAATAAGACCAAACAAACAAATACATGTAGCTGTGTTTCCGGTTACCCGACCAAACCTACATGTAGAAAAGCCAGGGTTCTGCCCAGGATGGTTTTAGTGCCGGCAGGACTATCTAAGCGGAGCGCCACCATCGGTTGGCGCGGAGCGTACCAGAAAATTTTTGGAATCTAAAAGCCCCCAGATGGCCGGAAACAGTACTTTCTGGGTGTTTTCAGCTGTGAATACACAGCCTAGAATGAGGGATCTCATGTCTGAAATTTCTGAAATTTAATAAAAAAATTGAAAATTTGTAATTTTGGTCAACTAGGATGAGGTGATAATTTTAGACGGGCAATTGAATTAGAAAAAAAAGAGTAGAAATAAATATTGATTTTATTCTGTAAATCCCTTAAATATTGAATTAATTTCTATCTCTATGATCCCCATAATTTTTCATTGCTATTCAAATCATTTTTCATTTTTTTGTCTGTTGAAAATAAGGCGAAACATGCAAAATCTTGGCGGAATATTTTCCTTATTTTCTTTGTACGAAAGTTCGTACAGTATGCATATGGGATAACATTCATAAATGTGTGCAGGGATTTTCTGAACAGTCATTTTAAAGTCTACATGAATATAATGTAGATTGGCCGTGGGATAAACAACAATTAACGAATGC